CCATGGTGGGAGGAAGGGGCACATGGCATGGTGTATGGTGCACACAGCATATTGCTGGGAGGCTGCAGTTCCTACAGTGTGTGGCCAGGGTGCTGATGGCCCCTGGCCCCACACAATGTGGATAGCTGGGATTTAGCTCCCTGATGTGACAGGGAAGAGAAGACTCAATGACAATCTTTAAGTAGTTAAAGTGGGAAAAGATACTGATTAGTCAGCAAGGTCCTAATAAGATGTGGAATGGCTAGAAACTGAGCTAGAGGAATTCAGCCTGGAACAAAGGTGCACGTTTGTCACAATTAGGATTACTTTTCCAAACAGCTGCCTATGGGATAGTGGTGGCTTCTTTATTACTTGGACTGTGTCTTCACAGCTGTGTTGAGGTATCTTGGGTTGGTTATGAAAGCTCTGGCTTTCCTATTGGAGTGTATTTGGTGCAAGGCAGCACCATCTTCAGACACCCTAGCTAGCTCTGCATCAGTGGGCTCTAGAGCTGGCAGTGGCATAGCCACATGGGCTCAGTGCTGCACATGGACTAATATGCCATTCTGCTCACTAGAAGTCAGTAGTCCAGACCCAGCACCATACTCAGGCAGCTACACAACTTCTGGAATTACCATGTGCAAACCTTAGCTTGGGTGTCTCTGTATGCACAGGACTGCCTTGTGTCATCTAAATACACCCCCCAAGTTGCTCAGTCAAATGGCAATATATTTCTAAAAGAGATCCTCTAATTCAGCTGGAAGCTGGTGGGTTGGATGCAGCAGGAACCACTTGGCTCCTGTGTTACACAGGAGTGTTGTTGAGACATCCAGGCTTAATTTCTCAGGATCTATTAGCCAAGCTCTATGTCCTTTTAGAGGCAGTATGACAACACCAGGCCTGAATTTCCACCCTGCCCGCCTGCTTCCGCTTCCCACATACCAAACCCAAAGGTTTGAGCAGGGGAAGCTGTGGTGGGGATGCCCTCTGCTCCTGCAGCTGCTGCTGTCATCAAGAATCCTTGAGGCAGCAATCCAGAACGCAGTGCAGGCATCCCAAGGGCAGCCTCACCTCCTCCTTTCTGGGTGTGGTGTGTGTGGAGAGCAGAGGCAGGTAGTCGGGGTGTGCTGCTTCTCAGCACCAATCTCAGCAGCAGCATGGAAATGCTCCAAGCACAGTTTCTCTCTCCTTCTGTCACTTCTCTATCATCTGGTTGCCTACTTTCTTCTTTCTTACATAGACACTGGTGAGGCAAAGCCCAGAGATGACTTATTTACTATGAATTTACTATTTTAATATATGCAATGTTATTGTTATAATTTCCCCTTCGCCCCATTCAGAACAACATGTTCCTTCCATATTTTCTTCTCCATCTTGTAGATTCAGTGCCCTATCCCCATTGTCCATTACATAGACCTGATAAAGTGGCTTCATCTAGGTTAATAGATTCTAGGGTCAGAAGGGACCTCAGTGGGCCATCTAGTTGGACCCCCTGCCCGTGGCAGGCAAGAAAAAGGGTCACCAAACCTGGGGTCATGTGAGCCCAGCCAGGTGCCTGTCCAGTCTTGTCTTGAAGACCCCCCAAGGATGGGGCAAGCACCACCTCTCTTGGAAGCCCGTTCCAGATCCTGGCAACCCTGACCATGAAGAACTTTTTTCTAATGTCCAGTCTAAACCTACTCTCCAATACCTTATGGCCATTGTCTCTTGTTGTTCCAGGGGGTGCCCAGGTAAATAGATAGTCTCCTACTTCATGTTGTTCTCCCTTATGGATTTGTACACCACCACAAGGTCCCCTCTCAGCCTTCTCTTGGCGAGGCTGAAGAGGTTAAGATCCCTTAGCCTTTCCTCGTAGGGCCTTCCCTGCAGGTCTCTAATCAGATGAATGGCTCTTCTTTGGACCCTCTCCAGGTTGTCCGCATCCCGCTTGAAGTGCAGCATCCATTACTGGACACATACTCCATCTGCGGCCTGACCAGTGCTGCATAGAGAGGGAGAATCACCTCCCTGGACCTATTTGTGAAGCACCTACGGATGTAAGACAAGGTGCAATTGGCTCTGCCAACTACTTCATCACATTGACGACTCATGTTCATCCTGGAGGCAATGGTGATTCCAAGATCTCTTTCTGCCTCAGTGGTGCTGAGAAGGTCGCCCCCCAGCCTATAGGTATGATGGCAGTTCGTTCTCCCTAGATGAAGCACCTTGCACTTGTCCTTATTGAATTGCATCCTGTTGCTCTCTGCCCACTTCCCTAACCTGTCTAGGTTGGCCTGGATCTGGTTCCTCCTCTCCAGGGTGTTAGCTTCACCCCATATTTTTGTGTCAACCTTGAATTTGGACAGTGGGCTTCCCACCCCCTCACCCAGATAACTGATGAAGATGTTGAACAGCACTGGCCCCAGAACTGAGCCCTGAGGGACGCCAGTGCCCACATCTTTCCAAGCTGACACCAACACTAGACTGGGAAGACTCAGTAGGTCTGGTGACCTGTTATCTACTGACTTTTTGTAGCTGTAAAAATGCAATGATATGCCTCTAACGAGAAGATATGATTTACAGCTTGCCTACAAAATGGGTTCTCCTTTTGCCTAACTTCACTGGTTTTTCTTGTTCCTTATTTGGGTAATTTTCTCCTAGCCTATCTTGTGGATAAGGGTCCTGTGCAAGGACTCAGGAAATAGGAGTAGAGTTCACAGGCTCTGCCAATGACTTCTTATGTGACCTTGGGCAACTCTACCATGTGTCTCTGTAGCAGACCTTGGCCCATCTTGTCTTTCCTGCCCAAGTGCAGGGGGCCAGGACCTGATGATCTTGTAAGGTCCATTCCAGCCCCTAACAACTATGAATCTATGAATTTCATTGATTTTTTTCTAAGTACTTCAAGAGCAGGCAGTGCTCTACTACAGAGAGAAACTCATCTCAGTCAAATATTGACTGTAATTTGGAACTCACCCCCATCCTAATCTTTAAACATATTGTGTGATGGGTTCTTTCCTTTGTTCCTTCCTTAATTGCTCTTGTTAGAGACAGTCAGGCAATGGCATAACACCAAATAATAGCCCTCCCCTACCTGTTAAGTTATAAATTCAGATTGAAGGGCACAGTGCTTCTATTAAACTGGAAGTATACATGAATGGGTCTTACACACTCTGGTGAGCTGGCTGAAATCATGCACACACTATCATTATGTTAAGGCCTGGCTCCTTTTACAAAGCTTGTCATTCTGTCAAGAGTTTGAAGTGGTGTTGCCCTTTTAAGAGGGGACAGGTGAGGTTTTGTTGTAGAGGAGGTGAAACTCAGGGTTAGCAACCTGCATATTTTGGTGGAAAGTCCTCCTTTAAAATATATATCCTGTAGGGGGAGGGTTAAAGGGAAATTGACCTTTTAAGATACAGAGAGCACAGTCATCCATCTCGGAAGGCGGAGGAAACACCTTGAAAAACCTTTAATACTCAAACAAGCTGGACTTGAAAGGTTGAAAGAGAGGTACATGTCCTTCTGCCTATGAAGAAAGCTGATTTATAGAAGCTGGACCCAAAAGCAGCAATGCAGTGACTGCAATAAGAGGAAAATAGCAGAATTTTAAAAATATCCAAAAAGAGGGAAAGCAACAATTTCCCAGATTTGCACTATTCTTACTAAGGTAAGAAAGTTTCACTCAAAGAAAACCCTGAAAATGAGCCTTGTTTTAGGGATGGCATGGTTTTGAATGTGTGAACATGATGAACAGAGGGTTGTGTTATTTTGCTGTAACAGAGCCTATATTGGCAGTAGGTTTGATGAATACTGCTCCATTTCCTATTCCTTCTATTTGATCTCCATTGCTGTCTGCTTAGGAATCTGTCCACTAATCCCATTGTGGGTCATTTAACCTTTCTTTCTTATTTCTGTCTCACTAAATTTATCCCTCAGGCTGGTCCCTTCAGATAAAGCATATCATCATTATTGTTGTTGTTGTTGCCAGTTAATGTTTCACTTATGCAGCACCTAATATTTTCAAAATGACCTAGGAACACTAAACAACTATTTTTTGCAACTTCCCAACAAAGTACAGTGGACCCTAGCAGTTGTACCAGGGTGACAAGTTTGCTGCTATTTGGGGCATGCAAGCTACACTTTTAGCAGTACCCAGTAGAAGGCTTGTTAAAAATTTCCACATATAGGTGAAAAGTTCCCCTGGTTTTACTTTTTGTATTTAGATACAGCCACTATTGTAGGGCATATAATACCATAAGTGTTTCTGGGAGGTAGTGTCTATCATGAAATGTGCAGCCCGAGATCCCCCTTGGAAAGAAGTTGGAAAGGGGGTGTATGTGGAACGGAGAGTGGGTACTCTCATTACTCATCATCTGCACTTTCCTTCATGCAGCATGCCCCTTTGTAGCTGGGAGGTGGATCACTGTGTTGCCAGACCATCAACACGGCAGTGAGAAAGGTCTATCAGGGTGTTGACTGGTAAGCATCCAGTCAGTGTGGGAGAAGTGGAGACTGACTGTCTAGTGTGTAATCCAGAAATGTAATTACATCTTGTGTTTTCCTATCCATATTAGCTTTAAATCTGGGAGACTAGGTGTTCGGCAGCTAGAGACCATGCCACTAGAGCTATACCACTAACCAGTGAGCTCAAGTATCTCTATTCAAGCTGCAGGCATAGCTTCAATCTGAAGTGTAGGCATAGCCTCAAATACACTGATTTGCCAAACTGTCATGCCGTGCTACCTTCCTGTTGGAAATAGTATACTAAAATACTGCCTCAGACTCAGTCCGGTCTTTGTGGAAGTCAAGAAGAGATTTCCCTTCCACAGGGTTTTTTTCAGACCCCTATTATCTCGCAAGCTAAATATTCCATAACACCTTCCATTTCTTTTTTCCTCTTCCCTAGCTTATTATTTTCTGTTGCTTAGCTGCCACCCCAAACACAGAGCAGAATGGCTTCATTCATATCTGCAAAGCTACCTTCTTTCTGTGGGATGCAGGGGCTGTTTAATGGTGCGCAACAGCTGTGTGGCACTTTGGGCAGAAAGCCTATACAGAGTGACTTAGGAAAAAGGAACTGAACAAGACACATATTTACTCTTTATTGTTGCAAACAAGATATTTCAGGTATGTTGAGAGGCACTGTGTTCTTCCCATGTTCTGGATAGTTATTTTTCATCATGCATCACATTGTTTTCTTTTATATGTGGTTTATAATGATGAATAGGTGTTACAAGCAGGAGCAGTATGTGCTATGGATGGTTGGAAGTATCTCAGAAGAAGGTGTTTATAGATGGTAATAAGCTGTGTAAGGATAAGCATCCCATTGATCTGTTGGATTCAAAACAGGGGCCAGCAGCCTGTGGCCTGTAGGCCAGATCCAGCCTGCGAAGGTCTGGCTTGGTGTGAGGAGGTGCTGATTTGAAAGGGCCATGTGATTTAAAGCAGTGATTTAATGGGCCATGTCAATGCAATGATTTAAAGGGGACTTGTTATAGCAGCCACTTAAAACCTCCTCCTCTGTGCCCGTGCCACCAGTCCCTGCTGGTTGTTGCCATGGTTTCTGGTGTTACCTGGCAAGCAGAGGGGGACACGGAGCAGGGAGAGGATCAGAGCAGCTGAGGACCTGTAGCGGGGGGAGCGGCAGCAGGTGGTGGCAGTTGGGTTGCAAGCACCCTTACTCTAAATAGCTGCTGACCCCTAATCTAGAACAACAGATTAGCTGTTTATTAAGGCGTCTGTTAGCCAGTTATCATTCCTTAAAACTAAGTATCCACTTACCTTAATATTCAGGGCTGACCTAATTTTGAATGTATTCAGGGTGAATACTGTAAGTCTGGTTTCTTTCTGTGTTTGCTTTGCCTTTTACCTAATTGATCTTAAATTTTGCATCTCTAGAAAATGTTGTAGTTTGTTTTTTCTGTCCAAACTCTGTCTCACTTTTTTTCAGAAAGAAAGGTATTTTCAGTGCTATCTCTTATTGGGTTACCCTGTAGTTAGGACAGATATTAATGCTAACATGTCTCTCAACTATAAAATGAAATAATAAAAGCTATTGGCCAAAAAAAACCCCTTGCTTCTCACATATATCCTGGACCATTGTGGTGATGATATCACTCTTCAGACCATTTTCTTTTCTGATTTTTCTTACCTGCCTCCCTGCATTTTCCTTTGCAGTGCTCTGCTCACTGCTAACATTTCTCTCCTCTGTTGTGTCTTTTCTGGCATAGTCTTCTTGGGGTGGGAAGAGTAAGTTGCTTCTGTGTGTCAGAGGGTGAATGGGCAACGGATTGACTTCGCTAGTATCGCCCTCTCAGACTCAACTCCCAAAGAAGAAGTGGAGACTTCCAGTGAAGTCAATGAAAGTTGGACCAAGTTGCAAACGTAGGTGAAGTTATAGCCTTGCAGTGTTAATGACATCCCTTAAGTTCATCTCCCCGACTAGCAGAACAGGCTGTGGCTGGTCTTGGAGTGTCCAGGGGAGGGGGAAAAAGGGGTTGGGGTGTTTGGGGTAAAAAGCAATTGCTCTGTCAGCCCTAACGGCAGCACAGCCTGTGTCTATCCTGCCCCTGACAGTTGAATGTGAGATGAGGGATGAATCTGGCTTTGGGGGATCTTTGTAAAAGAACCTTCTGATCTTATTTTCATTGAGGAGTGACACCAATAACACTGTGTTTTGCTGCTTTCATAATGAGGGGTTAGGTTGCATAGAGAGTACACTGGCTGTGTTGTTCGCCAAGGGCTTAGAAAGTCTGCTTAAGAACACAGCTGGGCGATCTCTTTTGATACGCAGGCAGGATGTTCCTACCTGCTGGGCTTAATTTCAATGCACATTAGAATAATAATTAGCAATTATAGAGCTCTTTACCTCCTCAAATAGCTTAACAAATGGTAAGTAAGCCTTACAGCAGTCCTGCAGTGTAAGTACAGTTCCATTTTTACAGACACAGGGATGTTTTGAAAGTCTAATGCCCTTATACTACTTGGAAAATCCCAACCTGAGTAGCTATCTTCACCCTGAGAGGCTGTCCTTCCAGATCATGCTGAAGGTGCTGGTCACTGCAGGGGACAATATTAGGATGGACACTGACCCTCCTTTGTATAGATGAAGGGAGGATCCTCCTTATCAACTTGGCCTGTTGCACCAATACTGGTAGCTTCTAAAATGAAACATAATTTGAGTCTCCAAGGACACAAGAAAAGCAGAAAGGAATTTCATCTCAAAGGCATCTACCACAAGACCAGCATCATTCTCTTCCCTGCATCCTGAATGCAGGTTCTCAGCATTGAGAAACTGGCCCCTGCTAGGATTGGGATTTAATATCTGGGAATACAAAATCATGTGAGACAGAGGTGTGTCAGTAGTACATGCAATAATATTGGGAATTTTTATTTCCATTCTCTCTCTCTCTGCCTGTCCGTGTCTAGTAACCTTATTTGCAGACTTATCACCTGGGGTGGCCTGCAGGATAAACAAGTCATCTTCCTGGGAATACAAAAGACTATGATCACTCCTAGCTAACGCATTGTGAACAGGCCCACCAGCACTCCACTTCACAGCAGCTGCAGAGAAGCCTAGTGCAACCATAGGAAAGAAGAACATCAGCACTCATGCACTCAACCACTTCCTTACCTCATTGATCCTTTCCTTGAAGGAACCTGAATATGCAGCCCAAAAGGCAGAGACTTAACATCAAATAGAAGTGTAATTAGACCAGAGACCATGAGCTGCCAGTGTTAACCAAGAACTGAACCAATACATGTGTTCCTAGGTGAACTGTGACAAACACATTCCAGTTCAAAAGAAAGAAAACTATGGTACATTAGTTAACGTTGATAAAGGCAGAAAGCACAGAACACACGATGTTGCATTATTTGTGACTGCGAGAAAGACGGCCTCAAGGCAGACAGTTAAATAAAAGAGAAAAAAGACATGGACAAAATTAACTGCTTATAGTGGTCAGTGTCCCTGCATTAGAGAATCTCAGAGCTCTTTGCCAATTAACCTGAGGTGCCCAGAGTGAGCTAAACTGGACTCAAAATAGTTAAGGTCAAATAGAGTTAGTGACCAATCCAGGAGAAGACTATAGGAGTCCTGATCATAGGTCCTCTGCTATAATCCTGAAGCTTGAAGTTATTCATTGGACTTCCCTTAATAAAACAATGAGGTGTATGAGGAGATTACTGGCCTCTACCAGCTGTATTAAGTGTCCTGTGCCATCACCCCTGAACTGTTTAGTCACATAGCAAGCAGCATTAAAAGAAACCCAAAACCCTTGACACTTCCTGTAAGTGCTGTCCAAAACTAACATGGTGAAACTGCCCTCAGTAACACCAGCCTTGCACTGGAAACAGCTTTGTGCCCTGTTATTAACACAGTTTTGTGATTTCTTTGCAGTGCGATCAGAGCCTTTTCTCTTGTCACATTCTGGAAACCACCGAGGTTTGAAGATGGCCGAAGCACCAAAAGAATCAACAAGTAACATTGGATTGGAGGAAATGGGCACAGAGAGGCAAGAACCCAAAAAAGGTTGGTTCATGTGAGCTGGCCTATGGATAGACGTCTTCACATCTCAGTAGGGAGGGTTATGTTGACAGTCAGGCTGGCTTCCTGCAGTCCACCCTTACAGACCCTGTATACTTGGTGAGCAAGAATTACCCAGCCCTCTCGTTGCCTCATGTGGGAGGCTAATCAGTTACAGCTACTAAACAAATGATTTTTTACCCTAATAGGGCTTTCAGGCAAGGATTAGTTCTTTCTAACAGGCTTTGTGTTTAAAGCAATTCCTACAAGCAGAGTTAGGGCCCACTGTTAAGCTGTGCCATGTTCATGCTGAAGATGAGGAAGCAAAGATAGCATGAAGGCCCTTAGGAATCCAGGTCTTCTCACTCTTGGGTGAGTGCTATGACAGCTAGGCTATAGGGTCATAGGTTACCTTTTGCACTCCCTCTCTCCCTCTCTGTCAGTCCAGTGAATTTTAAATTCATTTATCCCATCTATAGGACTGACTCAACCCAGAATAACTTCTAGCTTGGCACCCAGAGGCACTCTCATTGGAAGTCAGCAACCTGGGGTGACCCCTTCCAGGAGAGGAAGGAGTTAAACCCAGGCCTCCTACTTCTAAGCAGATGATCTTCTAACCTCTAGGCAGACAAGGTTCTTTGGGTGAATCTGATATCTTTTATTAGACGGACTTAAATAGGTATTCATTCCATCCAGTAAGAGCACACACCAACTGCAGAGACTTTCTCAGCCTTATGAAGGGTTTTTAAACCCAAATTGCTAAAATTTATTCCCCAACTATTTAAGTTGGTCTAATAAAAGATATCAGATTCACCCAAAGAACCTTGTCTGCTTATATCCTTAGACCAACACAGCTACAACCTACACCCTTCTAACCTTTAGGATTTCACATGAGAGAGGCCACCTCCACCACTTCCTCCATCAGCTCACTTCAAAAGAGAGCAGTGCTGTCTGCCATTACATTTTGTGGGAAGCCCAGTCCTGTCTGCAAGGGTTCAGCATGCTCTGAGAATGCATACCAGATTCATCTTTCTAGGTTTTCTGTGGAGCAATGCCTTCTTTCTGGAGGCCAACCGATATGTGCTGAACTGCTCATCCCTGTCAAGACTAGGGAACTTCTGCATGTGCATAGGGATGCAACTCTGGGTCTGTCGGGAGCTTTAAAGCTCTAATAGGAAGGTGTCTCTGGAGTTTAGGTGTCTCCAGCTTCAAAGAACAGCTGAGTAGGGGGTTTCAGGATTGCAAATGTAGTTGCCTGAAGTCTGCCTAAACCCCCACTTTAGGCCCCCAAATCTGGCCTTAGGTGACTTTCCTCAAGGCCATACGGGAAATCTGTTGGAAAGTTTGGAATGGTAGCTAGGTTGTCTGTATCCCAAGCTAGTGTCTTGATCGCTGGGCAATTCTCCTTTAAGTGCTGCTATACATAGGGTGTCTACACATGTCCCTGACTGCACAGTTGTTACTGCACAGTCATTTAGTACATGCTTTAGCTAAAGCCAGTACTAAATGATGGCACAGTAACAACTGGTACTGCTCAGTCCTGGTGCTGCATAGGTCATCTCCGACCCTACTCATTGCTACTGTGCAGTAGCTGCAGCGGCATGGTTCAAGCCTGCTGATGCGACATCCCCATAGCAATGACCTACATCACTAGCTCATTGCTATGGCAATGGACCATCTGGTGTAGATGCACCCATACAGTAGCTAAAACCAACATATGAAGGCCATGGGCATTAAAGTGCTTTTCCTTCCATTGTACATTCTTCGTTCTTGCTGCTTAGCTCTACAGTTTATCTAATCCATGAAATATCCAGTCACCATGACCTCTGTGCCCTAAGTTAATTCTTTGTGCTGCTTATTTGATGAGGTATGCCTGTAGTAGGCAGCATTTCTGACCCTCTCATGATGTGACATAGCCCCTCAAGAGCAAGCAGGTACTCTGTTCTGCAAAAACCTACTGAGGCCTGATCTCACTGCTAACTCTCTCTCTCTCTCTTTCTCTGTCCAATGTTTAGAGCAGAAGACATTTACGGTGGAAGAAGCCGTGGAAACCATCGGGTTTGGGAGGTTTCATATAGCACTTTTCCTGATTATGGGCAGCACTGGTGTAGGTTTTTACCATCTATTAACTTGATCCTAACTGTCCTGTTTTCAGTATCCTGCCTGCTGTTGTGGAATGGAAATCATGGACTGTGTGGCACGGATTCAGATCTCACTCTCCATTGAGTTAATGGGTTCAAGGGGTGTAAATGGAGCCAGCATTTATTCTGATTCACTCTCTTTCTGGTTGTTCATTGTTTAGTGCACAGTGCAAATAAGCATACAAATGCCCCTTGTTATCATCTAGCATTAGACCCAAAGGATATGGAGTGAGACAGTACCAAATGTTGTTGTTAGCACAAGGTGCTATCATTTGAGCGGAAGGAATGGCTTCACTGGCTATGAGTAAACAGCACATTCGTGTCTCTGTTGCTGAGGCCAGCTGTGAGAGAGAGACAGGATTGTGCATGTTAAATAAGTGAAGTATCATTGTACTTGGTGGCCTAGTCTTTCAAAAATGCGTAAATAGGGTTAGGATCCAAAGTGTGTAAGTGGCCCTAAGCAAGGTGATCTGCTTTTCAAAGTGTCCGAAGGACAGAATGGTTGTCATTGTCCATGTTGAATCCACTTGGTCAGAGCCTCTTCTTCAGGGGAGGAGTCTTTCAGTCTCCACCCAGAGGTGAGAAATTAGGTGAGAAGCCTTCCTTGTGGTGCCACATTTTTCTGAGATTCTCAGGCAAGACAATAAAGATTGGGTCCTGCACACTTGGCCTTGCTTTGTAAGTGATTCTGTCCTGTGAGAGTCCAGGACATCAGTGGCAGCTTTTGTACTGCAGGGAGGACCTATAACTCCCAGTCATTATATCAGTGGAGATCAGGCATACTGCAGAGAGGCTTTGACATACTCTGTTTTCCGGGAGGGTGGAGGAGATGCTGGTTCCCTATTACGTCCATTCTCCCTGAATGATTATCCAGATTGTCCGGTTATCCAAATGAATGTCCTTGACATATCAGAGCACCTGGGTTCCAGCCCTAGCCTGACTGGACTTTCTTACCCAACATATAAGAAACATTGCTCTTTTGCTGAGGTTGGATCCCGCCCTTGCTTAATGTATATATTTGTTCCTGAAGGTGGCTGAAGCCATGGAGATCATGCTAATAGCTGTTGTTTCTCCAGTCATCCGCTGTGAGTGGCAGCTTCAAGATTGGCAGGTGGCTTTAGTGACAACGGTGAGTGGCTCACATCATCCCTCTTTAGCCTGTCCTCTCTGTACCATTGTTGGCGTATGGTTGTTGATTTAGTTTTATTACACACTTCACAAGAGCAGAGACAGCTCAGCTGCAATGGGAATGAGGGCCATATAAGTAGGGACCTACTCAAAGTGCAACTGCATGGATTTTGTGGAAATTGCAAAATTGGGCCATCTCTGAGAAATCCATGGAACCCTTC